TTTCATGGGTTAAGCGGCTGCTAAGTGATTCCAATTCTTTTGATAATCAGGCAAGCATTATTCAGATGATATACCTCTCGTGCAAAATAAGAAGTAATATTGTTAGTATAATGTTTTCGGCATGTTGTGCCTTTGGAGGAGGAAGAGGAGGGGAGGAGGAGGAGGAGAATGAGGAAGAGGAGGAGGGGGAGAACGAAGGGGAAAGAAGATATGAATGAGGCGGCGAAAAAGGGAAGCTAAACCAACGGAAGAAGATAATTAATGATAATGGTGAAGAATAGATGAATAAGGAGCATAGGAAGGATGAGATGAAAATACAGGTGGATGGGTAGGAGAAGAAAAGGAAGAAGTGGGGAAGAGGCGGTGGTGGTGGAGGAGGAGGCGGATGAGGAGGAGGAGGAGGAGGAGGAGGAGGAGGAGGAAGAAGACGATGAGAAGAAAGGGTAGGAGAAGATAAAGAGTCAGATAAAAAGATAGAAGTCTGTAGGGTGTGGTGGTGGTGGTGGTGCATGGTGGTTGGGTTGTTGTTGTTGTTGTTGATGATGTTGTTGTTGTTTTTGGTGATGGTGGTGGTGGTGGTGATGGTAGTGGTGGTGGTGGCGGTGGCGGTGGTGGTGCTGCTGCTGCTTCTGCTGCTGCTGCTGGTGGTGGTAATGATGATGGTGAAGATGAGGAGAAGGAGGAAGAGGAGATAAATTAGGTACAATCAGTTAGAAACAGAAAAAAGTTATGTGTAGAAACACATTAACGTAAATACTGCAAATCATGCAATATCACAAAACGAGTATTTCTACCTAATCTAAGATTTTAGGTTGATGTCCATGACTGATTGCAGATTTATATCACATATATTTCCCGCAGCCAAGGATAGTACGTTATGTATGATTTTTATATTTGCGTGTTCGATTCGTCGAAAATCCTCTGGGAAATCTTTCCGAGACAGAACTATGAAACGTCCAGATAATCATAACCCCGAGAAAGATTGCAAGATTTCCTGATTTTCTGTAGCTTAGGATTTGCCACATGACTACCTTGTATCGACGATATATATACGTACAATCAGAAAATTCAGTGTTCCGCTAAACGATATTCGCGATCGGGCAGCTTGGCGATATTTCATACACCGATCTTCTCGCGATAGCAAAAAATACAAATAATTAATACTAGCTGCGGGTACCCGCTGCGCTGGGTAAAATCGTTCTACTAATTCATACTACTAATAATTGGACACAATAGGAACATTGGGTAAAAATCGACAATATAACATTGCACACAATATCAATATTTAGAAATCAGGTAATAAGATAATAGCATGGGAAAACTGTTAACGTATGACAGTTTATATGACAGCAGAACTCCAACTTAGAACCCCTGGAACATAATAGTAGTTAATATGTCAGCAAATGAGGAAAAAGTTATTATAACAGATGTACGAATGGGTGCAGTTTCATTTGAAGAACCTCTTGATAAACAATGGTTGGCGTGATTCAAGATGTGGTGGACATATGTAGAGATTGCTGGCGTCTCGACACTGTGAGCTCACACGCTTACAGCCTACCATTGTCAGCTTCGTAGATGAATAAGACGAAATTGAGTACATAGTATAGATAGAGACAGGCCAGCGAAGTGCGGGCTCGCTGATCTCATTGATATTGTGTAGCGAAGCGGGGCGCGCAACCACATGCACATTGAAATGAAGGAATTTTTCTACTGCAATCAGAAAAGCCGATAGCATTCGAATGCGTTACAATGGATTGTGGAAAATCGTAGCATGAACTAAAAAAAGTTCGATAGATATAGTATACAGACAGGGCCCAGCGAGCGGGAAAATTTGTAAATTACAAAAGAATGTTTACTCACTTTGGACAGCGTCTTTATGCGATTGATGTTATGAGCAATCGTAACTCTCAAACTATATAATACTCATTTACTAACGTATCATGTGAATCTCTAAAATATTACAAAATCAGTTAATCATATAATAAGCAGTGGTAAAAACGCGTTACGCCTATGACATTATATGACAGCACAACCCAACGTAGAACCCCTGGAACATATAGTAGTAATATGGTGCTAAATTAAGAAAAAGTTATAGTAACAGCATGTACAGGAATGGTTGCCACTCTCATTCTCAAAGCTCGTTGATAAACACAAGCAGTACTTAACCACAGCCACTTGAAGCGTTTCAACTGTAAACACGTACATGCCACCGCCCAGTTGCGCGCCACACTGCACATAAATACTAGCCTGCGTTTGCGCTGTTTTTCAGTAACCCGTTTCGCGTTTCACAAATACCCAGCAGCCGATGAGATACGCGAAATCGATTTTTCTCTCTTGCTGGGCAGCACTGTACAGTCAGTGCTGACTATGTGTGAAGATTGACGCAATGAGGGTTTTTCACGGATTTTTCGGTGAGTTTGACGGTTTTTTTCGGCTAGGAACACTCCCCGGGTATAAGAGATGGGGCTGTGAAAATTGCATCCAGATCGCTTGGGCGGTTTGGCCGCCTATAGGGAAGATACATAGATAGATAGATACATACATACGAACTCAAATATATATTAGATAAATAGGTTTAATGAGAAAAGGGGGTTCTCTCTCTCTAGACACCAAGCGTTTACTGCCACCCACTCATTTTCTCATTATTGTGCGACGCCATTTTCTTTTCATGTCGTGATCTGTCATTCTCACATCTTCATATCTTTTCTCTACGTCATTGCATGGTATCTCTGGCTTCGTTATCACCACACTTCTGACGCCCTTAATGCTGATCCGCCCCATATCCAAAGGTGTGCCTGTCCGTCCGTCCGTCCGTCCTTCCGTCCGTTCGTCCGTCCGTCCGTCCGTCCGTCCGTCCGTCCGTCCGCCCGTCCGTCCGTTTGTCCGTCTGTCCGTCTGTCCGTCTGTCGTCCATCTATCTACGAGAACGGTCGTTCGGCAGTCAGTTCGCCTGGGGGTGTTGTTACAATCTTACCCGTACTTTGTTCTCATCCGACCAACAGGCTGAGTCATAATAGATTCACACTAACGCAATAAGATGTGACAATGCCTTGAGAGAATTATAAAACGAGAGATTAACAAAGTATTATATTTTGTGTTTTTATAGTCTTATATTTGCGTACTACTGTCTGTGCAGCATTGATAATTTGAAATACATTCACGAATTTGATTTAGAGAGTTACAGAACGATATAATCACGCGGTTTTATTTTAAATCCACGCAGCGTTGCATAAATAATACCCCCATAAGTGTTGTTTGGCATGAATAATATAATATTCAATTTATATTCAATCACATCTAAGGTGCGTATACCAACACGCGTCCGCATTTCATCGTCCTGGTAACGTAATAAAAGCGAAATCTCCGCGGGGATTTTCCATCGTGATGAAGGACCATGGGTGATCACACAGACGTGATTCCACCGCGGTGCGTCTAATGCACCTGATTAGCCGAGCAACGGTATTCCCCGACACAAACCCTTCTCCCACCAAAGACGCGCGCGATACGCAATCTCACCATCTCGCGCGAGCAGGGCATCGGAGGCGAGTAACGCCCGCGCACGGCGCATGCGTCGACGCGGTGACGCTCGCAGCGCCCCCGTCTCTCGCCCCGTCAGCGGGTAGCTTTTCAGCGCGCACGAATATTACGCTGACACATGCAAGCGGGCGCTGCCCACATCTATACAGCCTCTCCCAGCATCAGTGGCGTCGGCATAGTAATCAGCGGGTCTTTAGACGCAGCGGCTGGCTACGCGTAACGCTGCGATCGGTAAGCAGCGAGTTTTTCACCCTTAGCGACGCTCTGCATAGAAGCCATCGCTATACGTGTGTGTGTGTGTGTGTGTGTGTGTGCGGGAACGGCGATTGCCTCTGTGCTTATTGTGGTGGAGATGAAGAGGCGAAGCATCAGCCGGTGAGTATTCATCTTTACTTGCCGTGAGCAATCGCGCTCGTGCCCACTCACTCTCTCTCTCTCCTAATCTGTATAAAAACTGGCGGAGACCCGCGCGACGAGGTCTAATACGCGATTTCGAAAACACTGGGGTGCGGTTTTCGCTTCGTGATTGTTCCCCGAAGTCATCAAACAAGCAATCGACGTGGAAAATTGCTTTTTAGCCGTAATTCAGCCCGCCAACCGCATCACCTGTCGCTGTCAGCATTTCGCGGCTAACGGCTAATCCGCGCACGACTTCTATTACGGCCAGCAGCAGCAGCAGCAGCAGCGAGAGAGAGAGAGATCAGAGGCCGCGCCACGCTCTCACCTGTGCGCGGTGAACCTGGCAGGCGCGCGGCCGAGTGCGCAGCGCACGAGCGCAGCGTCAGTTTCACGCTGACTCTCGCAGCAGACGAAGGCTTTCTGTTTGCGCGGCTCGCACGCACACGACCAAGGCAGCGCGAGTTATACAGCAGTAGAGGCAAGAGCAAGAGCACCAGTAACAGCAGCAGCAGCAACAACAACAACAATAACAACAATAACAACAACAACAACAACAACAACAACAACAGCAGCAGCAGGCGCGGCGGCAACAGCAACAGCAGCAACAGCAGGGGAAGAAGCAGTGACAGCCGCAAGAGCAACAACAGCAGTAAGGAGCGATCATCTATCTGGACCTTTTATCGACGGCACACACTCGTTGTCTCTCTCCATCTCTCTCGCTTTTCGCATCTCTCTTTCGCGCGCCAGTCTCTCTCTCTCTCTCTCCTGTTCTCCTCTTCTCATTCTCTCTCTTGTTCTCCTTCTCTTCTCACACTCTCTCTTTCTCGCGCGCGTTCGCATTTTACTTCATTGCAGCGCTGCAGGATTGCGATGCGATCTTGCACGCTCGACAGGCTGACTACCGCAGCACAGTGCGCATACAGGCGTTGACGCTCTCATACGTACGTACGCCCGGCGCACAGCCGCTCGAAATGATCGCAAGAAGAGAAGAAGCGCTATGTGAACTGTGTTGATTCAGCGCGTTTACGAAGCTTTCAACGAGGCGTTATAGGTACACTCAGCCGCGTGAAGGCGAATATATTTGCAGACCTGCTCGACCGCAGAAGGACCTATTGTATGCATGACGGGTCGCTAGCGGCCGTTCGAGCGCTACAGAGGACACTTGCCTGCCGTTTCTAGCACTGTCGTCGTCGATATAGCTACGTTATAACGTGGTTGTTGTAATTTGACACAAAGTACACTCGCGTGCGAGGAAAGCCATACTTCAGTTTACAATGCGTGCATCTCTTGCAGAAATAGGTAAGTGTGAATAATTATATATGCATACATACATACATGCATATATATATATATATGCATACATACATACATGCATATATATATATATCAGAGTAATGGATGATGTTTTCACGGGTCCATTTCGCGATCAATATTGGTATTTCGCGCATTTTCGAAATGTGTCATCAAAATTATCCATCTCGTAGATAATACTTACTCTCAGCGCTACACTGCGGCAATGTATATTTTTTACAAGTCAGTAGGAAATCGAATAATGCTAACGACGTCAGGTTTCACAAACAAGGTGCTGTCTGCAAGGCGGACGTGGATGCGCGCTAGGCGCTCGACAGATGTCAAAATGGGCACACGTGTGTGCACCGAGTACAGCTTTGTTCTTAAATCACATTCAATTGTTTCACGAAGACAATTGTGAAACGTAGCGGGGAAACGTTAATATTTAACTGCGTAGTTTAATGGTACTCCATGTTGAACATATATCACAAAAACGCCACGCTTCGACAGGAAACAATATGCGTTTCCCGTTTTGGGTTTGTCAATGAAAATTCCAAAGGTTAAATAAAAGCTGAAAACGTCAATTGTGAAGTTGAACACCCGGCTAAAGTAGGACGTAAGATATTCAAAATACCATTTAATGAGCTTTCACTATCGCAGTGATATTAGGAAGCGCAGAAAACCGGACCGGAAATTGCTCGACGATTGCTGTAAAATATTGCTCTCTCTCTGCGGATTGTAGGCGTGCGCCGTGTGAGAGCGTCTACTTTCGCCATGTCTCTCATGTGCCATTGCATTCATTCACATCACTCGTAGCTTCGCTCGCTCGTTAACCAGTTTGCATCATATCGCTAGCATGTAAGCAGGAGTAAGATAATATAGGATATCCTATATTATCTTACTCCTGATGTAAGCATAACACCAACAACATGCGCGCGCGCGTGTGCGTATGTGTGCACGCGTGTGCGTGTACATGTGAGTGCACGCGCGTGTGTGTGCATGTGTGTGCACGCGCGTGTGTGTACATATGTGGTGTGCGCGCGTGTGCGTGTACGTGTGTGTGCACGCATGTGCGCGCACGATGGTGCGTGTGTGCGTGCGTGTACGAGCGGATACACTTTATTTCACATCGAGAACTTTGGCTATAGCCTTGCTCGTTTCGTGGCGTATGGATTTTGCCGGTTCCCGGTGGCAACGTGTTAGTGAAACAGCGCAGTTCAGCTCGTCTCTGCCTCATTCAGACATGGCGGCGGCGCTGCTGCGCATGCGCCGACTGAGAAATCCCCAGCTTCGCTCTGATTAAAACGCATATGTCACTCGCGACACGGCGAACGTTGACAGCTTTCCTCGTCACACTAGATGCCGCGAGAAAGATTAAATGGCGGGAATAACATTTTCGAATACGGGCGGCTTTTAGACGCGACGTGCACGCGCATGAAAACCGCATAAATGCCAACGCTCGTCACATGCAGAAAATTGCGCGTAATATTGTCCATGGGAAGCCAATATTAATGCGATTAGAATGAGAGTGGATGACGACGCACGTGAGGACTTCTATGTATTAGAGCTAGATGCTGACTCAGCTACTGACAAGGGGGGCTGCGTTTACGTATAGTGGTAGCGAGCGTAGTGCATATAACACCTATACGCGTTCATTACTGTCGTTAAAATTATTAAGTACGCTTGCGAGGAAAGCTGATCTATAATGCATCGGACTGTTCGCCTTCAATTACTGTACGTGTCCGCGAAAGCCGTGCGGCTGCGCGCGTATTTATGCATGCCTACCAATGTGTTTATGCATTATCGATGGAATAAGGCATTTAATCACGACGTTTACGCGTCGTTTCCGTGCATTTCACAGCACTGCGGGGCTGAAAAGCCGCCTTCAGTTTCGCCGTATAATGGATATGCACGTTGTTGCGTCTCGTGATTGTTCAATTAAAATCAGATCCGTCAGTTACATACATATTCTAGCCGTATAGGTCTCACAATTGTGCGATGAATGGTTCAAGTATAAGATATATAGAGCGAATGTTCGCCGATGGAGCGAAGTCATGGCGATTTCGTCTCTCTTCCGGGGCACGTATAGTTCGAATTGGTCGAAGTGCGTGGAACATTGGGAAATGTCGGACAATTTTCTTAAACTGTGCCGGCTCGCTTCTCACGCTCCTGCTCTCATGCGCATGCGCAAGTCTGCGCGGGGCAGAATGCCAGCTTCATTTCATTGCCCGCCTCTATCATCGATGGCTGGCGGTCAGACTGGACCTGTCGTCGCGTACTCGCACGTGTTCTACTTTCTTCCCGACACGAGCGCGCATACCATCACGCCGTGTGGCATGTGCTTTTGTTTAGCAGCGTTTAAAGGAAAACAAACCAAATATACTACCCGGCCGTTTGCCACTGCAAGCGCGTGGGAGTCGATCGTTATTATTATACACTCGGGCCAGCTAAATAAATCACATCGCCCGCTAGCGGCAGAACGCCGCGACACCGATCCTGATGACGGTGATGTGGGCAGGCATGCGTGAAACAACTCTATCCCGCATCACATCTACGTTTACCTTTATCTCTACATCCCAAGTTAAATGTAGAAAGTATGTGCTGGTACCGACATGTTTATTGCATGGGTCGAGTAGAAGTCGATGATTCGCCTATATAATGTGTGCGTGTGTGTGCGTGTGTGCGTGTGCATGTGCGTGTGTGCGTGTGTGTGTGTGTGCGTGTGTGCGTGTGTGCGTGTTTGCGTGTATGTGCGTGTGTGTGCGCGCGCGTGCGTGTGCGTGTGCGTGCGCGTGCGCGTGTGTGTGTGAGTGTGTGTGCATGTGCGCGTGCAATTAACGACTGTATTTCTCGTTCTCTCTCTCTCTCTTTATATATATATATATATATATATATATACGTGCGTGTGCATGCGTGCGTGCGTGCGTGTGTGCGCGCGTGCGTGCGTGTGTATAGGGCTTTTGTCGCTTCCAATAAAGCCATTATGGTTTCTCAATCAGTGTTTGATCCCCGAATAGAACTCGCAAGGCTAACGTTCTTCACATTTCTGATGACGGCCATCGCCACCTTCACGGTGTTACGGCGCGGAAAAACGCATATCGATTGGACAACTTGTTCAACTAAACTCCTTAAGTTGCTGTAGATAACGATAGGCTGCGGCGGAACACAGCACCTTGTTACCGTCGCGCGGACACTGTCTCCGTGTATCCATTGACGCAAAGGCATCTGAATTTGCGCGCCACTATTACGCGCATCGTGCGCGCTTTACATAAAACGAACACGACCGTCGACTAACGGCTACGACTCGAGTGAAATGCACATTTATCAAAGCGCGCGGTTGACAATCGCGGTGATATAGAGCGTGTATAAACGCCCCCACAAAGGAGCTGCATGTGTAGCTCATGCGCATAATCATCACTAAGTTAATAGTGAATCATGGGTAATAGCGAATTTATCGCCGAACAAGTATCGATCTAGATAAACAAGTTTACATTTTCGAAAGAACGCGTATTTTGCTTTAAATTGACTAATTTTCACGACCGCCGTTTAGCCGTTTAATTGACACGAATTTTCTATGGTGTATATTTGTAAAATTTTGTTGACATTTTTTTACATTAAAAGTAAGTATTAACGACACTAAAATCCTCAAATTCTTACCTGATAAGATTGTTTTTCAACTAGTTAAAAATACAAAAAATGTGGGCGATTTTATATATATTGATCACGACATTAAATGCTTGCTATGGGCTATGCATAAGTTATAAGTATTTGTTCACATCGATCGGAATAGCAGAATAGGAAGTATAACACAGCAATTTAACCATAACAAGTGAACAGAATCACTTTCATATTTCGAAAAAGTGGACTTGTTTTTTTAAAACTTTTACTATTTACGGTGACGTAATCACTTTAATCTATTGCAGATCACATGTATTTGTAGTAGGATATCCTACACAAACGAGCTTATATTGATCGCTAGTTGTTTTAAATATGTAACGCAGTGCGGTTTACCGTAAAAGTGCGAGTGATTATAGCGTTCTATAATGATAGTGTTATGTACATACACATATATATGTTTACGATTCTCTCAACATTAACATATCGCATATTTTAGGAGTATAGTATTCTTTAATAACTTTGCTATAATTATTATAATAATCACGCGATTGCATAGGAATTAACATATCCTATTATTGATTAATGTGTTTTTACTATGTATCACGTGTCTGCATTTTTTGCGATCTTACCAATTCGTGTGAAGTGGTGTGCAGGATGCATTAAAAGAGTAATTAAATTTTGATTAAATTAATTAAATTCCGTAAGAAAGTCCAAAGACTTACTGCATTACCTGTAAAATCTGATTTGCAGAGGCGTTGTTCTCAGTTCAACCGAAATTTACAGTAGAGGTTGTGATAGGCACAGCGCGTATATTTTGTGTTGTCGGCGTATTAAAATGGACTGCATGGTGCTAACATTATACTTCATATCTATGACGCAGGATATTTCTGTATATATAGATAAAGGTACTTTTTCGCTGAAATCGTTTCATCAAACATGACATTTATTTTATGTCGTCCGTTTATATTTGCTTATACATGCATAACCGGCAAAGAAAATGTCCGGAATTACGTTTATTCCATTTGCCTATGTATAAAGTATACCTATCGAGACCAATTTGCGTTTTGTGTTTGTCGGTCTTTGACAGGTCCGTGAGATCACAATGACTGTGCGACTGTGTATGCACACGGCTTGCAGCCATGTAGTGAACCGGTGCTTAAATGTGATTTTCCTGTTAAGATTTCTTTGAGGTACTATGAACATGTTACTCATTTGTAAAGTTCCTATTTCAAGGCTATAATGATAGTGTTGTTCTATATAATATTGCGATAATATACGTGTAGTTCTCTTTATTTTATACTATGCGGTTTACTACGATTTGAACAAATTGCTGTACAAATTAGTTACGCTAAAGAAAGTAAATACCTAATCGATTTTAAAGGTTCTTTGCT